GTGATTATTTTTGACGAGTTATTGTTAATATGCTTTCCATAGAAAATTGGTACTGGTTTTCTACCAAATTAATATCAAGAAATGCACGGACCCGCCAAGTAGTACTCGATAAGGAATCACCTAAAGTTTTATTAATTATTAAATCACCATTAAATCATAATTAAATACGGGAAGCAGTAGTAACATAAAAAAGTAGCGAAAACGTTATATTAAATATTGAAAATATAATTAAAATGATGGGCCAGTGCTAGATCACATAAAAGGAAAACATGTAGTGACTTATGTACTTGGCCTCAATAATATGATATCAATACTTTTTGTTAGAGGAATTCACAGCAATCCTGTACTTGGCGTAGTTTTTTACACGTAAGTGTTTTTTGGGGGATATAGACTACGCAATCCCTATTTCAAACTCTTTGAAAGGGAGTTCGTTTCGAACAGTGTTATCGTTCGGACGTAACCTACCTGTGTTCTCTTAGTTCATTTGAAGCACCTTATTTATTAGTCGGGTCTTTGGGATTATAGCGAATATTATTCTTATAATCAGTGAAACTTATATTTTTAGTGGAGTTTTCGATTATCATACGTTTATTTATTATTAATAAAGAGCAATAGAGCGCTCCGCTTTTCTCTCCACTCTCGGGGAGTGGGAACTGACATAGTGATCTCAAGTGCAAAGTATTTTTAATTCCTGCAAAGCAAGCACATGCACAAATAGCTGCTTAGACACATTGACTGTATAATCTGCACCTGAAAGAAGAAAGAAACGGGAGGAAACATATAGCCAGTGTTGTATGACAACGCCTTGACTTGTTTGAGCGCCTGTTGCTAGCCGCGGGGTTCACCTTCTACAGGGTCATGAGTTCCTTGTGTGTGTGTATCCAGATCTTCGTATTTGACCTGTAACAACGATTTTGTAAATAATTCTTGTTTGTACGTTCTATGGATAAATGTTATCGTCCTCTAGCTAGTTAGATTTTAGTTCAGCCGGTGGTCAGGCGGAGTGGAGCGGTGCGGAGAGCGCTGTTTCCTCCTGGTAACGGAACAAAACTTTCTCGACCGCAGGAGATTAGGGGTCGCGCAAATTCTCAACTCACGCACTCATTTACTTATATCCAACAATTCAAACCAGTCATTCTGGGATAGGGCAAGTGCAGATCTGCTATTGCCTCTGGAGGGGGTTGGATCACAAATAGAGGTGGGGTTCATTTCTACTTCGGATGAGGAGGGGGGATCGGAGGTTCATGATTCGTCTGATATCAACCTGCAGCGTCGGTGCAAGAGACCTCTGGACCTGGGGGATTCTGGGGACCATCAGTCTTTCCATCCCAGTAAGGTTTTCCATGGCGAATTAGTGGAATTACAGGATTCTCCTCACCAGAGAGTTTTTCCGGACTCTACTCCTCCCCCGTTCGTCATCCTCCTGCGTCATAAAGACAGAACCAAGAATATAGCTAGATACCACCCGGTTACTCTGGGAGCCAAACTTGGTAGGTTTGGGTCTCTAAGTATGATAGAACGACCCAGCAAGGCCACAGTAAGAATTACCTTGGAAGATAGAGAAGAGGCCAACAACCTGATTTCGTCCGTTAGCGACATAGATCCGAACTGGATAGCCTTTATCCCCGAGTACAGGGTAACGCGTGTTGGTCTAATCAGGGACATGGATCCTGAACTAGATGCAGCTTTGTTAGTTCAGGCTTTCAACTCTCACTCGGGCAATCCTAAAACTCTCGACGTGGAAAGGCTTTTTTCAGCTAGGGGAAGCACTGATAAATAAAAGGAAAGAGAAAAAGTGCCTTTACCTCTTATTAAGGTCACCTTCCTAGGGGACACCCTGCCGGAGACAATCAGATGCTGGTCCTACGACTGTCCTGTAGTCCCTTTTATCCCTTCGGCATATAGATGTTTTAATTGTCAAAGATTTGGACATACCGCCGCTCTGTGCAAGGGCTCTGTGAGATGCTTCAGATGTTCTATGGACCACCGTGAGAAGGAATGTACATCAAATCTTATTAAATGCCCAAATTGCCAGGGCCCACACAGAGCTTCAGACGTGAACTGCCCCTCGTTTATTCTGGAAAAGAAAATTAAAAAATACATGGCCATTAACAATGTCAGCCGGTTGGAGGCATTGAAAGTAGTAACGACGGATAATAACAACGTGGTTGCGGATGTCCATCCCAGTGTACCTTATAAACATCAGGTGTCGGTGAAGGAAAAGTCGCAACGCTACTCCCAAATCGAGGTTAATTCGGGGATGGTAGGGGGTAGCCTAGATGAATCAGGCGACGACCCATCTGGTCATTCCTCGACAACGGATTTGAGAAACCCCCGTGGTGACATTGGAGCAATTGCTAATCAACTGGAGACCTTGTGTTCTTCAAATAGAGACTTGATTCCGGAGCTCATCAAGCTCCTTGTCAGCATGTCCTCCAAGTGATTCTCTCGTCCGTCCGCCTGCTGCCTCTTGATGTGAGAGCCTTCCATGCTGAAAGTCTGGTTCTGAAACGAGTTGTGCGTTCCGCTGTAATTGTTTCTTGTTTTTCCCGTCTCCACTCTAGGAAAGCGGCCCAACTCGTTGAGTTGCTTGGAGGTTGGGAACGTTACCGGCGGTGTATCGGCGTCTCTGCTCGCGAGCGTATGCTTTTCGGGTTATGTGGCTCTTCCCATTCTTTCAAATCCTCCCCACTTTGACTCCTGGACTCTGCGCCGCAGAGTCTCGCAGGAGGTCTGCAGGGGTCTTCGGAGCGGACGGATAGATGTAGGGCGGTCTTCTAGAGTTGCGAGGGCGGGTTCCTGCGCTAGACCGCGATAGCAGTTTCGTTTTTTTCTTTTTTCTTTGGCTTTCTTTATTTTTTTTTCTTTTCCTTCTTTCTTAGGGTCGGCAATTGCTCTTTTAATTTCAGATAGGACCTTTCCAGTTTGAGGGAACGTTAATAGCCGAGAAATACCATGGATTTCTCAGGCGCGACCTTAAACACCTCCTTCGCATCAGCGGATTGCTCGAAGAGGACCTGACGAGGATTTGGCTGCAGCACGACGGTGCTCCTGCACATGCAGCCCGCATCGTTCGTCATTAACTCGACGGTATGTTTCCGGAGCGCTGGATCGGACGAGGTGGACCCCGTCACTGGCCGGCACGTCCCCCAGACCTGACGCCATTGGATTTCTTCCTCTGGGGACACGAGAAGTCGGTCGTCTACAGGGCACCCATCGAGACGCTGCAAGAGCTTCACCTGCGGATCGACAGTGCCGTGCGTTCCGTCACTCCGGAAATGCTGGTAAACCGTCGAGGCAGCCTCCTGCAGCGTGGGAGGTGCTGCATTCAGGCGAATGGCGGACACTTCGAGCACCTTCTTCATTGAGGTAAGGAAACAAAATTATTCAATAAAAAGTTATTGTTTAAATTTGATTTATAATCTATTTGGATTTTTATCATGCTTTAGGTGCTATGTCCAGCACTGTCTGCGCCCCTGTGTGTTCCTGTACAAGACGACGACCGGTCGGTCAAATTGTAAAACAACTTCAATACAAAAGGTACGTTTTACAACAGCATCTTAACAATATCAATTAGATATGCTAATAAATTTGTTTTTCGTTTCATGTGAACATCGTTCTCGGTGGGAACAATCTTTCGATCGACTTCGAAAAAAGTAAGTAAACACAATACAGTACAATATTATTTTTTAAATTAATTAATTAATTTTTTTTTCCTTTTCTATTTCTTTTACATGAACGTGAGAGAAAGCGGCGCAAGTTCAATAAGTGAGGCTATCAATAAAAAGTAAACAGAACTCGCCTATCATCATGCTACAGTCAAAGGTAAGCGAACCCTGCCCTATAATCCATTTGTCTATTTTATTAAACAAATAAGATGTAAATAACCATCTACCTTTTCTTTTCCAGATTGTCATTATCAGGGTGATGAGAAAAGGAAATAGAAGAACAGCATCCTAGATGACCTAACCTGAGGACAACAAGCGGGGACGGCCATCTAGAATTTCCAGTATCTCCATTTATTTGATTGGACAAGACTGTAACGGCAAATTAGTGATAAAGATTAAATTATACATAATATGGTAAAACATATGATGTATATTTTATTCGCTATCACTTTTTCAAAGCCACAGTCTTGTTCAATCCAATGAATGAAGATACTGGAAGTTCTAAATGATAATTATTATAACCAATAACCTATTCCATAACATAACAGCGATTATTATTATTTATTTTTAATTATTATTAACTTGACTAAACTAAGTTAATATATTGTCATTACTTACCGGTTTAAGATTTTTGTACATTTCTATAATGCGTTAACACATTGTAAACATAAACCTAAATTCATTATTTACTTTGCGTTAGCACAATGGGTCATCAAATTACATTAATTAAATTATAAACTCGACGGTATGTTTCCGGAGCGCTGGATCGGACGAGGAGGACCCCGTCACTGGCCGGCACGTTCCCCAGACCTGACGCCATTGGATTTCTTCCTCTGGGGACACGAGAAGTCGGTCGTCTACAGGGCACCCATCGAGACGCTGCAAGAGCTTCACCTGCGGATCGACAGTGCCGTGCGTTCCGTCACTCCGGAAATGCTGGTAAACCGTCGAGGCAGCCTCCTGCAGCGTGGGAGGTGCTGCATTCAGGCGAATGGCGGACACTTCGAGCACCTTCTTCATTGAGGTAAGGAAACAAAATTATTCAATAAAAAATTAATGTTTAAATTTGATTTTTAATCTATTTGGATTTTTATCATGCTTTAGGTGCTATGTCCAGCACTGTCTGCGCCCCTGTGTGTTCCTGTACAAGACGACGACCGGTCGGTCAAATTGTAAAACAACTTCAATACAAAAGGTACGTTTTACAACAGCATCTTAACAATATCAATTAGATATGCTAATAAATTTGTTTTTCGTTTCATGTGAACATCGTTCTCGGTGGGAACAATCTTTCGATCGACTTCGAAAAAAGTAAGTAAACACAATACAGTACAATATTATTTTTTAAATTAATTAATTAATTTTTTTTTCCTTTTCTATTTCTTTTACATGAACGTGAGAGAAAGCGGCGCAAGTTCAATAAGTGAGGCTATCAATAAAAAGTAAACAGAACTCGCCTATCATCATGCTACAGTCAAAGGTAAGCGAACCCTGCCCTATAATCCATTTGTCTATTTTATTAAACAAATAAGATGTAAATAACCATCTACCTTTTCTTTTCCAGATTGTCATTATCAGGGTGATGAGAAAAGGAAATAGAAGAACAGCATCCTAGATGACCTAACCTGAGGACAACAAGCGGGGACGGCCATCTAGAATTTCCAGTATCTCCATTTATTT